TGGTTGTGTGTGAGAGAGTGTGTGTCTCTGTGGTTGTGTGTGTGTGTGTGAGAGAGAGTGTGTGTGTGTCTCTGTGGTTGTGTGAGAGAGTGTGTTTCTCTGTGGTTGTGTGTGAGTGTGTGTCTCTGTGGTTGTGTGTGTGTGTGTGTGTGTGTGTTTGTGTGTGTGTCTGTGGTTGTGTGTGTGTGTGTGTGTGTGTGTGTGTGTGTGTGTGTGTGTGTGTGTGTGTGTGTGTGTGTGAGTGTGTGTGTGTGTGTGTGTGTGTGTGTTTGTGTGTGTGTGTGATTGATGGGGTTTGTCTTTACGGAGCTTTCATTCACTAAACATGGACACGATTAAATGCTGTTGCATCTAGAAAACTCTTTGGCCTGCAGTGTTACCTGAGGGGGTTAGTTTAGACCGCTTTATAAGCATCGAATTGCAACTTAACTTGACAGTGACAATCTACACTAGTATTCAAAAGTATGAGGTTAGTAAGATTTTATGGGTTTTTAATGGGTTTAAAAGAAGTCTCTTCTGCTCACTAAGGCTGCATTTATTTGATCAAAAATACAGTTCAAAATAGTGAAAAATTATTATAATTAAAAACAGCTGTTTTCTATGTTAATATCTTTTAAAATGTAACTGATTGCTGTGATCAAAGCTGTATTTTCAGCATCATTCCTCCAGTCTTCAGTGTCACATGATCTTCAGAAATCAGTATAATATGCTGATCTGCTGCTCAAGAAACATTTACGATTATTATCAATGTTGAACACATTAATATTTTTGTGGAAACTGTGATGCATTTTATTTTTCAGGATTCACAGATGAACAGAAAGTTCAGAAGAACAGCATTTATTTGAAACAGAAATCTACTGTAACATTATAAATGTCTTTACGGTCACTCTTGATGAGTGGTGCATCTCTCTCTCTCTGTGTTTCTCAGGGTTCTTCATAACTACATGTCGTGGCGTATCGTTGCGGCGCTGAGCGAGCATCTCTCCACCGCGTTTCGCAGCACGATTCACGAGTTCTCGCGCGAGATCGACGGAGGAGAGCGGCAGCTGGATCTGGAGCGGCTGTGTCTCAATCAGGCCAGCAAACACTTCGGCATGGCCCTCGGCGCGCTCTTCGTCCAGCAGCACTTCTCCTCCTCCAGCAGAGTCAAGGTGAGCAGCACTGAGCTCAGGACCGTTCATCGCCTCAGAAGTCACTTCAGAAGGTGCCATTCAATCTTGTCAAACACGAAAAACTGATTAAAATTCATAATAAGTGCACACACTTTTTAATGCAACGTGCATTTTAAATAGTTATTTTCTGCTGAATGCTGGTGAAAAGTGTTGCAGTTATAAATGTAAAAATTATCCCTGTTTTAGTCAGATTTGTACAGCTGCTACTGAATTTCAAATTTAGAAAAAAGTCAGTTCATGCAAAATAATAACTGGTTATTGGTTGTTTATTATTATTGATCATTGGTGTCACTTCAGAGAAATCATGCACATCCCTAGTAATAGTAATATGGATTATATGTAGCTAGTGTTATGTTGTAATGCATTATAATTTAAATAACTAAAACTGAAACTAAACTAAAAAGCATAAAACGACAACATTTTTGCTAAAATAAAAAATATTAAAAGCTTATTTCAGCTAGTAGCCAAGGAAACATTTCTCACTTTAGAGAAATCAGAAAGTAAATCAGTTAGTTTGGAAAAAATTTTATTAATATAATATATAATATATTTTAAACAAATTAAGATATTTTAAATGAATACATTTTTTAATGTTGCCTATGAGAAGGTAAGTCAGATTAGTTTGGAAAATAAAATAAAATATTTTTTATATAAATTAAAATGTTTAAATAAATATATAATATTTTAACCAAAGTTAAAATTTTATTTTTTTATAAAAATATTAAAAACATATTTCAGCTAGTTGCCAAGGAAACATTTCTCACTTTCATTTAGTTTAACTTGATACTAAAATAACAAACTAATAAAATGAAATAAAATGTAATAAAAAATATATAGACATAAGGAAAAAAAAAACTACTAAAAATGACAAAAACGCAACAAAATTACTAAAACTTTCAATTTAAAATGAAAAATGTATATTAAAATATCAATAAAAACTATAATAGTATCGCAGTAGGATTCACAGATGAACAGAAAGTTCAGAAGAACAGCATTTATTTGAAACAGAAATCTACTGTAACATTATAAATGTCTTTACGGTCACTCTTGATGAGTGGTGCATCTCTCTCTCTCTGTGTTTCTCAGGGTTCTTCATAACTACATGTCGTGGCGTATCGTGGCGGCGCTGAGCGAGCATCTCTCCACCGCGTTTCGCAGCACGATTCACGAGTTCTCGCGCGAGATCGACGGAGGAGAGCGGCAGCTGGATCTGGAGCGGCTGTGTCTCAATCAGGCCAGCAAACACTTCGGCATGGCCCTCGGCGCGCTCTTCGTCCAGCAGCACTTCTCCTCCTCCAGCAGAGCCAAGGTGAGCAGCACTGAGCTCAGGACCGTTCATCGCCTCAGAAGTCACTTCAGAAGGTGCCATTCAATCTTGTCAAACACGAAAAACTGATTAAAATTCATAATAAGTGCACACACTTTTTAATGCAACGTGCATTTTAAATAGTTATTTTCTGCTGAATGCTGGTGAAAAGTGTTGCAGTTATAAATGTAAAAATTATCCCTGTTTTAGTCAGATTTGTACAGCTGCTACTGAATTTCAAATTTAGAAAAAAGTCAGTTCATGCAAAATAATAACTGGTTATTGGTTGTTTATTATTATTGATCATTGGTGTCACTTCAGAGAAATCATGCACATCCCTAGTAATAGTAATATGGATTATATGTAGCTAGTGTTATGTTGTAATGCATTATAATTTAAATAACTAAAACTGAAACTAAACTAAAAAGCATAAAACGACAACATTTTTGCTAAAATAAAAAATATTAAAAGCTTATTTCAGCTAGTAGCCAAGGAAACATTTCTCACTTTAGAGAAATCAGAAAGTAAGTCAGTTAGTTTGGAAAAAATTTTATTAATATAATATATAATATATTTTAAACAAATTAAGATATTTTAAATGAATACATTTTTTAATGTTGCCTATGAGAAGGTAAGTCAGATTAGTTTGGAAAATAAAATAAAATATTTTTTATATAAATTAAAATGTTTAAATAAATATATAATATTTTAACCAAAGTTAAAATTTTATTTTTTTATAAAAATATTAAAAACATATTTCAGCTAGTTGCCAAGGAAACATTTCTCACTTTCATTTAGTTTAACTTGATACTAAAATAACAAACTAATAAAATGAAATAAAATGTAATAAAAAATATATAGACATAAGAAAAAAAAAAACTACTAAAAATGACAAAAACGCAACAAAATTACTAAAACTTTCAATTTAAAATGAAAAATGTATATTAAAATATCAATAAAAACTATAATAGTATCGCAGTGATATTAAATAAATAACACGATCCGAACTTTAAGTTATTTACAATGATTTTTAAATCATTCTTTTCAGGAATTTAAATTCCTCTTACATTCTTAAGAAATGTTTTTTTGGGAATAAAAAATATTCTAACGTGTATATATAGAAAATAAGAATTAAATTGATTAATAAAGAAAAAAACGGGGCATAACAACTCTCCCTTTTTTATTTTATTTATAAATTTTTTTATAATTTCTGTGCTTTTTTAGGTATTTTCCCACTTTGTTACACTTCTTATATTCCTACAAATCTGCATATATATTTCTTGTTATGTTATGTTATTAATAAAATATTTGAATGTCCAAATCTTTTTTATCAGCTGCTTTTTCCAACTATTATGAGCTGATGCACCTCAGTTTCTGAGCCAAAATACCGTTTTCTTCCACTCAGAAGCTGCGGTGATGATATCTTATATAAGTGTGAGATTACTGGGGTCTCTTTTCAGGAGAAACATCTAAGCTTCAGTCTCCACTTCATCTCGTCTAATAGAGATATCGAGGGACTCATTGCTACTTTTTCTTTCCTATAGATTGTTTTGGGCGTCTCACCTTCCTCTTTCTTTTCTAACGCAGTCGATCTGTTTCTCTCCACCGGCCCAGTGTTTAGCTTTCATCTTCTTCCTTCCTTCCCTCTCTTCTCAGATAGATAGAATGATGGATGGATCGAATCGCTCTTCTTTCGTTCCCAGATGGTGTGCGTGGTGGGGTGTAGAGATTTGTGGAAAAAGTTCTATTAAAGGAATTCTTCATCCACAAATGACTTTCTTTCTTTAGTGGAACACAGAATTTCTTTACTTGAAATAAAAGAAACGTGAACGTGTTTTATTTCAGCTCGTTGTTGAGGCAGCATTTCTTGTTTTTGTCTAGTTTAACTTGAAGTACCACATTAGCTAAATTACTGTAAATAAACTAAAACGAATACATGCAAAATCGTTAATGTTTATTAACATTAAAATATTAAATTATTCATATTTGAAAAAACCCCACAGCAGTACTGTAACGCTGAGTCAGAGGCGTGCGGATCCATTTGCAGCTTTTATTAGAATAACAGGCAGAGTAAAACAGGCAGTATTCAGTCAACAGCGTCACGTACAGCAGGGTAATCCAAGGGAATAAACAGTGGCAAAGCGAGGGTCGGGGCAGGCGGCAGAGAATCAAACTAGTTAGAACAGTCCGAGGTAATACACAAGAGATAACAAGAAAGGGGATAAACGCTCAGAAATGTAGCCGGGGCCATACAAGACTTCACAACCATAGACTGTCTGAAAGCTGTTTAAATAGGGAAGCTAAGGGGGAACACCTGTGCCGTAATCAGCCCCAGGTACGGGGTGTCTGGGAAATGTAGTCCATGAACGTTAGTACTCGGGAGAGGGTGCCCTCCGGAGGCCATCGGAGAGAGCCACAGAGGCCTGATTCGTGACA